TGCACACATTAGACTAGACACGGTCTTGACGTCAATCATCATCCCGAGACTGTGCTACTCACGACGACTATACGATGTGCCACGTCGGCAGAACACTGCTGCAATCAACACACACGACGACGTCAACGCCGGCCACAACGAAACTACGTGTGACCGTACAATTTTTCTTGAATATGAAATTAATTTTTTCTCCAAGAAGTTTACTTAACTATTGCGTTTGTTCTAACACCAGGTATGAGTTCATTTTGGTTTATTCGTTTTATTGTTCAAAGTAAAAAAAAAAACGTGTCGTTATCATTTATAATACACTACCTGAACAATCCTTTCATAACACCGGGCCGTTAAGAAATTTCCTATACAAAAACTTCCAACTGTCATACTTCCAGTATAATCTATTCCAAATGGAAAAAAATATATATCACGGTAAAACAAAAATACCACTATAAGTCTATAAACAAACCACATTTTAGGGGCCGCCTAATGTACATCGTTTAGACGTTGAATCATCAGAGTGTACTTCAAGTTAATGAATCTCGAGTCTTGAAGCGGGCAGGATTCATCCTGATACTCCGACTCGACTGCTCTTAAAGAGAGATTAAAATCAAATATATAAGCAAACAAAATAAATTAACATATATGAATAAAAAATATATAAATCAACTAGCTCATCCCGTGTACTCCGTTACCCGTTAAATGTACCAAATCTATATGACTCAAACTTTGATCAATTCTTTATTTAATATTCAGTGTATGGTGTTCAAAATGTATCTTAACTTTTCCGTTACCAGGAATAATAATAATAATTCTTATTCGCAGCAGTATATTATCAGGTAGGAAATCTACCTGGGGTAGATCGCGGACCACGTGATGTTTGTACATTACGAAAATATTAAAAAAAAAAAATTGAGAAAAACCAGACCAGCCGTTTTAGCGAGACAAACGAACAGCAATTAATTTTTATATATATAGATAGTAATAATATCAACAAATAAACGTTCATAAAGTTATAAAGGCATACACATGTCATATAAAATGTAGCTTGCAATAATATGCATATAAAAACACTAACAAAATATATTATAATCCAAAGCGTTCTTAATTCTTCCACAGCGTCTAATCCAATATATCCTTACAGAAAACCATACAGGTGGTATTCAATCATAAATACAAAGAGTCGACAGTGTATAACCAAAATATGAACTTATAACTGGTATAAGATATTGTAATATAAAACGTAAAACAATAGTAACGTGCATCGATTCACACCAATTAGAGGTATATCCATTCTAACAAGGATCAACGAGTACTTTTCATAGCTATACGAGGTAAGTGAACACACATATATTTCACACTCTATGACAAATTATCAATTCCGTACTCAACTAATAATATTCTGTAGTAGAAATAAAAATAATGTAATATAAGTGCCGATAGCCTACCATCCCAATTTTCCATACCCTTTTTACTTTGCCGCCTTACTCCGCACCCCCCCCCCCGACCTTCCCGCACTTCGTTATTTTTATCTTACAAGAAAAGATGCTGAAGTAGAAAATCGAAAAAAATTTCAAAAGGTGAAGACACACACAAAACACATATTTATTTTTGAATTCATTCTTAAAATACCAACAATAAAATTATTTACTAGACAATTCAATGACTAGGTCATTTGCATGATTCATGCACAGCTAAAAAAAAGATAAAAAAAAACAAAAAAATCTAGCCAAGCAACCCAAATTATAATGTTTTAATCTTTACACCAAGTATAAATAATAATTATGTACCTGACAAGTGACTATTAAAAAAAAATGTAATTTTTAATTTTTATTTTATAACACTATATTATATTTTAACATACTAATTTTCCGGGGCCCAATTGATCTTTAATCCGCACTTATGTAATAATCGGCTCTATTATAGCTGCACACCGCTGCTTAAAGTGCTTAATGAATAAGCATCGAGACCACTTAGAGTAGATCTTTTATTGAGATTCGTGGTGTAACTGTATCTAGTATCTAGGACCTAGGTATCAATAAAGTAATGTTTAAATGTAAATAAACGTGAGTATCTAAATATTATGTTATTATTTATTTTAATTTACATATATAGTGTATACAATACTACATACAGATCATAATGGTTGATACTTGTATAAAGAGGTGCTTATTGCTTATAAGATTAAGATAAAAAAATGTTGAGCGATGTACATACATTTCACCCCCCCCCCCCCGCAACCACAACCATGACCAAATTACGCCACGGGTACTAACTTGAAATTTGGAATAGAGGTTCTTCTCATATTTTCACAGTGCAATAAGAAAGAATTTGCCAAAATTCGCATTTTAAATAGGTGCTCAAACAGCGACATTGAGGTTGAAGGAAATCGGAAATTTTATTTTTATTTATTGATAATTGCCATTGGTTGCGCAGTCTACAGTAGAAATTAGTATTTATTTAATTTTTGGTTGATATTGGTTAATCGGGCAAATCAGGTACAAGCATGCATCAAATCGAATTTTCGCACATTGCCTACTTGGGTGGCGGAGTTGCATCTACTGCAGTGAGTTACACCAAAAAGGAGTTGAACAATCACAATTTTTTCTAGAGTTTTAATTTTTTTACGGGCAACGGAATTCACGTTCAGCTAGTAGTATTATAAAATAATAAATTGTATTATGCTGTTATAGATGTATTAATTTATTTAAATTGGAATTTAACTGTTAAACTTAATAATATACTGTTTACAAATTACGATGAAAAAACCTATTTAGAGTGAAGAGTGAAGACAATATTATTATGTTTAAATAATTTACGATTTTTACGAATTCCGTCCCGATTATAAAAATAAGTATGGACATTTTTAAAAGTACCTACAAACCTTCTAAGTTGAAAATCAAATCTTTCTACTAGAAAAAATGTCTATAGATGTTCAGACAAAAAAATTCAAATTTATAAGAGTAAATAATATGAACATTATCCTATTGGAACAATATATAGTATGTTGCATAATATTACTAATATGATGTAATACGTTACTATATTAAAGTTAGATTCTTTTTTGGTCATTTTTGATATAAATATTTTTGTCTTTGGGCCCAATCCACCACATTGCTAGTACCAACAAATGAAAGTATTGTATTAAAAGTATTTCATAAACATTAAACGCAGGTGCGTGCGTGATTATTTAAAAAATCGTAAATCACGATTGAACTTTAAAAATGCAGGTAAGTGTGTGTGACTCTGCTGTACAGTAGGTTGCAAATGGATGACTGTAATGGATGGTGTTAAATAATACCTAATATTATTATTGTATACGATAAACGATTTCGAGCGGAGACGGTTTGTCAGCCTAGAATATTTTATATTATGTTAATATTGTAATTATTAATACGGTAGCCGGTTAAGTTAAATTATCATTTATAATAATTATTATAATATCATTATAAATATTTATTATAATATTTGTCTATAATAATATTATACTTTAGAAGTTTTAAGTACCCACAAATAATATTTTATAAATATAACACAAAACTAAAATCGTTCTTCTACCTACTTTTAAATATCTAATTTCGTCCAAATTTTAACATAAAATAACTTAAAAAAAAAATCGGACAAGTAGATGTCGCTCTGCCGTACAGTAGGTTACAAGAGGGTCACTGTATAAATAGCAGACTGATGTATATTGATAAATTCATTTGAAATTCTATATTTGCCCCTCCAGATTATGTAAAGATCAAATTTTTGTAACAAAGTGGTGTTCGTGTGACAGTAGTTTTCCACTCCTATGAAAATTGATGAATCAAAATAAATAGATAATAATTAATAATATGTATCAATGGCGTAGCGTGGGTTTCATCTATAGCATATGCGTTGAAATCGCGAGTTGATGAAATCGTGGTGGGATAGGCCCCCCCACACCCACCTTACTGTTTTTAAAATGTTACGTATTTATTACTATATATATCACATTGCCTAGTACATAATAAAATATTATAATTAATAAATAAAAAAGTAAATCACTTTTAAAAAAAATTAACGCACGTGACAACTTATAATATACTATCGACGATAGCGTACTATGCAATACTTATTATTTTTTCGTGTATTCGCCACTCGTGTATGCGGGATCAGTATTGCATAGTACGCTATCGTCGATAGTATATTATAAGTTGTAACGTGCGTTAATTTTTTTTAAAAGTGATTTACTTTTTTATTTATTAATTATAATATTTTATTATGTACTAGGCAATGTGATATACGAGTGGCGAATACACGACCGCGAGCATTCTATGTTTTGTTACTAAGAGGACACATTTGTTGTCTCAGTCTTACACACGCATAGCAAATTGTTGTTCACTAGTTTCAATGGTATGCTGTTAGTTTTGATACTATAGAATGAATTGGCCTATTATAAAAAACTTTTAAGTAAGAATGTCATCTTTGCTTATCTGTTGCTCATCAATAATGTATAGTTGCTTGTCACCCGCGCAAACACTACTAAAAAGTTAGGTACACTTTAATGCAGAGGATTGTTGAATAGTAATTTTTTGAGACGATTGCCTCAGTGAAAATTTGGGTAGGTGAGTGGGTGTGTTAGAATGGATGTGCAACTTATACCTAAAAAAACTTAATAATATTTAATATTTTGAATAATAAAAAAAAATCGTGAAAAAACTATTGGTGGTGGGGAGGGGATCAAATTGTATAGTTTGCCTCGTTTCTACTCGTCAGTTCGGCACGCCACTGCTTTAATGCACTTTAAAAATGCATTGGCTGTATAATCGCTGAAAAGTAAAAACAGAAAAACGATGCACTTAAAACCAACTGCGCATAATTTTATTAAAATCGTAATATTCTGTTCAATAATTTGGAACGTTCCTCTGCCGGTTCTCTCAATAATTCCTACGGCTCTGCTGCGGAGCCGCGCACGCGCCGTCGTCGCCTCCGTCCGTTTTGAATCCTCCGCGGTAGTCGTCGTCCGGTCCCGCGGAAGCTTTACCTCATTCCGACGAACAGGAAGTGCCGTAGCCGTCGTACCGGTCCGGGGCCGCGACGTCGCCGAATTCCCGAACACGCGGGCCGCTCCTCGAATCGCCCGTCGACGACGACGACCATGGCCAGGTGTTCGAAGAGCCCGGGGCGCTCGCGGCGTCCTCGCGCTGCAGGCTGACGACGTCGTCGTCGTCTTCGTCGTCGTCGTCGTCATCGTCGTCGCCGCTCAGAAATCGATCGTCGTCGGACGCCGGGAGCTGCAGAATGTCGTCCTCCCGACGCATTTCGACCGAACCGTCGTACGACGCGGCCGACGACGTGGACACCGAACCCGCAGTGTCGCCGAAGTCGTTTTTGTTGTTTTCGTCGTCGGCGCCGATGAACCGGTGGTTATTGGTCCACACGACCCTGGTCCACGACTGACGTCGATCGGAGTCGGAGTCGTCGCATTCGTCCGACAGGTCGTCGTTTTCGGCGCTTCTTGCGGCGGAGATTGCGGCGCTGCGATAATCGATGGCCGGCAATAAATCGACCGGCGCGGGCGTCGGCGGCCGCGAGCGTAATGTCGCCGAGAATGCGGAATAGCTGCCGCCCGCATCCGGGTCCCAAGCCGTGTCGGATCTGTTGTCGCCGCTTGGCCCGGCGGGTTCGTGTTGCTGTTGCTGTTGCAGGCCGCCGCGTCTCCTGTCCAAACACTCCGACAGCGAAACCACCGAAGTGTCGGGCTGAAGAAACGGATGGATTTTTTATTAATTTTGTTATTTCGAATAATTTACAATTTTAATAATGGAATGGGAAAAAAATCGACTCCAAAAACCTGAGCTATCGGGGGGACGAGACAGTTCTTAATGTGTCTCAATTCATTATAATTTATTGCATAAAATAATACCTATACTCATCTACACCGTTTTTAAATTCAAATATGAAATTAGTGATGTGTAACAATGTAGGACACAAGTGCGATTTAAAAAAGGTGCTCTGCTGAGCTCACTGTATAATGGATGGTATTACATTTTAATTCAATTATATAATATCATTGTAAAAGAAAAACGATTCTGAGCGGAGACGGTATGTCAGTCTAGGTATAAGACATATTGTATACTTATTTATTTTATTAAAAAAATTGACCTATATTAAATAGATATATAATAGTGTACTTTAGAAGTTTCAAGTACACACGAATAATATTATACAATCACAACAAAATAACTAAAATAGTTATTCTAGGTTTTTTATTATGTAATTTGGTCCAAATTTGAACTTAAAATGACTATAAAAATTAAAAATAAACTGATTTTTTGGTAACAGAATTAACTATTTACGAGGAATTTTGTTTTAAATTTTCAATCCTTAGATATAAAAGTTGAACATTATATAAATTTTTAACTACAAAATAATTAGTAAATTTTAAATTTGATAAATTTTGTCAAAATTCGATTTTTAAATGCTTATAAAAAAACTTGTGCTTATGTATTTTTAATATTTTTCAACTGATATTGTAACAATATATCATAAGCCTTGTATTAAATTTTACACTTTTTGGCCTAACAGATAAAACTTTATTGATATTTATAGAAAAAAAAATTAATTTCCGTAAACAGCTCAAAAAGTGTCAAAATATTTTCAACATTTTATGGTGTATAGTTAATGCTAGTATAAATATTCAGTGAAATTTTCGTGTATCTACCGTCATTCGTTTGAAAATTACAACAAAATATGGAAATCGCTACACGAGAAATCGAGTGAATATCCAATGTTGTAAAAATTTGAATTTCAAACGCTCATAACAATTTAATTTGACTTTCTTATAGACATTTTTTTTTTTGATAAAGGTAGATAATTTTATAAGGAATCTTGTATTACATTTAAAAATCTTAGATTTAAAGAGAAAAAATTTTACGAATTCTTAACTCAAAATAATTTGTTAATTTTCGTGATTTTTCCATATTTTGTCAATTTTTGAACTTTAAATGCTTATAAAAAAAACTGTGACTAAGGATTTTTAATAATTTTCATCTGCCTTTGAAACAATATACTAGGAGCCCTCTATTAAATTTTCAAGCTTTTTTAACCAACAAATAAAATTTTATTGATATTTATAGAATAAAAACTAAAAAAATTGGAAATTGAAAATGTCCCTAAACAGCTCAAAATAACTCAAGGCATGGTGTATAGCAAATGCTAATATAAACAGTCAATAAAAAATTAATGTATGTACGGTCATTTGTTTTAGAGTTATCACACATTATTGTAAGATCTATAATTTCATCATTTCACTCAGAATCTAAAAGAATATTATGTATTAATAAGTTTATTGTATTGAACAAAAATGAGGTAAAACTATTATTTTTTTTTATTTCTTTTCAAACTGTGACCTTCTATTAATTTTAAAAGTAACATATTTTTTATATGGGTTAAAATTAGCAAAACTGTTTACATTAATACAACAATTATTGCAGTATTATAAACTGATTTAATAAGGATTTCGTTTACCAAATTCACTGTTGTTCCATTTAAATAATCTCAAAAAGTGTTATTTACAAGTTGGCGTGTACCATAGCTTAAAACTAAAATCGTTATGATTATAAGTACCAATTAGACACAACTTATTTTATATGAAGTCGTTTAAGTGTTAATAAATTATAGGTTTTATATACAATACCCATATTTGTACATTGTACTATATGGCAGTTTAATGGCTATCCTAAAAAGTAAATTTATCAACGATGTCAGTTTATTAATTGTGTGTAATAAGGTCCTCCATAATAAATTCCATAAATATAAATTGATTGAGTGAGTGCACAATAAACCATTCGCGTGGTATTTGGCAGTAAGATATTCTTTAGAGTTTTTGATTTATAGAAAAGGCTCCTAATTTTTTTGCAGTTATACCAATTTGAGTATGTGCAAAAATATACCAAGTGACTATAGTTAAAAAATTATTTAAGTGAAGTTATAAGTTACTTTTTTTGATAAATTTTAACTTACCTAGTTAAAACATCGAATATTAGATAGTAACTTAGTTACCAACTAAGTTATTTAATTTGATAAATAATCGTAACTTATCTTAGTTATTTTCAAATTCTTCTTATTGTGAACTGGATATTTTAGATTCTGAGCGGAGCGATGAATGTATTGGTTTTACAATGATGTGTGTTTTTTTTTTTTATATTTTTATATTTTTATATTTTTTTTTTTTTTTTTTTGTGTCTGTCATCACGTTTTAGGACAGTAAAAGTGCTTGGATTTTCTTCATCAGTAGATTTTCTGAGAGGAAAGTGAATCTAGTTGGTACTTTGGGGGGTCAAAAGTATAAATTTCCAAGTAGTTTTCACAAGCGCTGGGAAAAACAACATAAAAATTAAGGAAAAACTGGAATTTTTACGCAAAATTGGTTTTCCAAAAAATCGATTTTGGTTATTGGTGTAACTCTAAAACAAATGAACGTATATACATGAAATTTTCACTGGTTGTTTATATTTGCATTTTCTATACACGATAACATTTTCAAAATATTTTGATTTATTTTGAACTGTTAAGGGACATTTTCATTTTCCATTTTTTTTTTCTAAAAATATCAATAAAATTTTATTTGTTGGTTGCGACAGCTTGAAAATTTAATATAAGGCTCCTAATATGTTGTTTCAAAGGCAGATGAAAAATATTAAAAATCCTTAGTCACAATTTTTTTTTATGAGCATTTAAAGTTCAAAAATTGACAAAATATGGAAAAATCACGAAAATTAGCAAATTATTTTGAGTTAAGAATTCGTAAAAATTTTTCTTTTTAAATCTATGATTTGAAAATGAGACACAAGATTCCCTATAAGATTATCTACCTTTATCAATAAAAAAATCTCTACCGGACAGTCAAATTAAATTTTTATGAGCGTTTGAAAATCAAATTTTTACAACATTGGATTTTCACTCGATTACTCATGTAGCGATTTCCTTATTTTGTTGCAATTCAAAAACGAACAACTGTAGATACATGAAAATTTCACTGAATGTTTAAATTAGCATTTTCTATACACCATACAATTTTGAAAATATTTTGACTCTTTTTGAGCTGTTTATGGACATTTACAGCTTTCAATTTTTTTTAGTTTTTTTTTCTATAAATATCAATAAAGTTTTATCTGTTGGGCCAAAAAGTGTATACATTTAATACAAGGCTCCTGGATATATTGTTACAATAGCAGTTGAAAAATATTAAAAATACATAGGCACAGTTTTTTTTTATAAGCATTTAATGTTCAAATTTTGACAAAATTTATCAAAATCTCGAAAATTATCAATCATTGTAATTAATAAATTATAAAATGTTCAGTTTTTATAGCTAAGGATTACAAATTCAACACAAAGGTTCTCATAAATAGTTCATACTATAACCAAAAAATCTAAAAAATATATGAACACACTTATTTTTTACAGACATTTTAAATTTAAATTTGGACGAAATTACATATTAAAAAACCTAGAATAACTATTTTAGTTATTTTGTTGTGATTGAATAATATTATTCGTGGGTACTTGAAACTTCTAAAGTGTACTATTATATATCTATGATAGTATCACGGTTTTTGTTGATGTATAACGCGTTATAAGTATCTAATGGATATTGTGATATGATTAATTTGGAATTTATTATATGTACCTATTATAGGTCAATTTTTTGTTTAATACCATAGATATGTATATAATATGTCTTATACATAGACTGACATACCGTCACCGCTCAGAATTGTTTTTCTTATACAATGATATTATATCATTGAATTCAAAATTAATACCATCCATTATACAGTGACCCACTTATAAACTACTGTACAGCAGAGCGACACCCTCTTGCCCACCTTTTTTACATTGATTTTTTAACGAAAACCTCATAATAATATGTTTACGTAAATAACATTATGACATAGCAAGATGGACATGCGTTCAATGAATTTACTCGAGGGTCTTGAACGGTAAGTCTAAAATAATGAGGAACGCCCCGACGAAGAAATATCTGCCGACGACTGTACTAAATACGTCATTATTAATATTATATAGTGACTACTGTAGGAACAAAGGGCTGCAATTGTTTATGTACACGCATACAGTGTGTTACCTACAATACATTCTACAATAGTATATAATAAATCCTCCTTACAACTGACCTCCCCTCCCCCCATAAGGTGGAAATCTACTTACAAAGGAAAACAACACAACAGTATACCGTATGACCTATATACCGCATATTTTAGTATCCCTTGTATCGGAAAAATCGGATGGCACCTAACGATTCCGTTATAAGGAGGTAACTATAAAAGTGACACAACTTGAGTTATTATTATCCCGAAAACGTGTAACTTAACTCGAGTTACTCGTTTATATTTTAAAATCGACCTCAACCTGCTATTTTTTGTTTTAGTTTAACTTAACTTTGACTAGTTAAAAAAAAAAGTCGGTTAACTTGCCCTGAAGATTTGGTAAACCCGGTTTTGCAGGTCTCTTTCGGGGCGGTGCCGCTGTCCTATCCTCAGTCCCTGGCCGTGGGGTATCAGGGGCTCGGGGGTGCTCGCCCTCTGCTCCCTTCGCCGACCACTGCCGAAGGTCGCCTCGTCCGCTCGTCCGCCGTTCCTAGCGGTCCGTTCCGAGTTCTCGATGTCGCGATTGCCGAGTTCGCGCCGACCGCGGTGGTGTTCTCGAGGCCGTTTTCGGACGCTTTCCACGGCGGCTCCCGGGCTGTGTCGCGGAGGCGTTGCCGCCATCCGATGCAAACTGCTGCAGCTGCAGTGCATCGGCGATGCACTTTTCAGGACTTCCGGTTCGAGGCGCGACACATGATCCGACAAGGTGGACGCGCAGTCGACGTTGCCGCCGCTGCGGGCCCGTTCGGGTTGTCTCGTCGATATCGAATCGGAGCTGCAGGACAAGGTCCAATCGCAAGTCGAACTGTCGTTGAACGACGACGATCCGCCGGCGTTTAATACCGTCGAGCGGACATTCTTTTCTTTCGTTTCGTTGTCACATTCGTTGACGACTTCCGGGGGACAGTCATCGTCGTCCTTGGGAAATTTACAGGGTTCCACCGGCTTGGCTCTCTTTGGATTCCTCTTCAGACACTTTGAGTTGGACTTACATTCCTGCTTCTTCGGGTTCTGGTTGCAATAATCGCTCTGGGTGTGCACCACACTTGCCTTTTTTGCTAATTGTTCATTTGGGCATGTCGACTCTATTGGTTTTCTGCAAGGAATAGTCATCATTGGTTTTTCACACGGACACAGTTTCTTTTCTTTTTTAACATCGCAAATGTTTTTCGCAGCCCGTTTATAATCTTTCAACTCGCAAGTAAACGGTAGCTTTTCGACTTCTTTTAACTTAACATTGGAATAATCGACTAATGTTACGCCCGTCATTTTATAAATAAATTTCGCGTCCGGAATTAGTGTATCAGAATACATTCTACGGCTTACAATCTTATTACCAGGGAATTCTTTACAAAACACTATAGCAAGTGCAGCTTCGTCTATTTGCTTTTGGTTACATTGTTGGCTTGATATATCTCTGAACAAAAAAAGAAAAAATGTAACAAAATAAAATAGTCATGATATCTGAATTACTTACACATCAATTGAAATAGAACCTGGTGTTCGTTTGGGTCTATTTTCTTCACTAGTCAGTATACTCCAAGGATGCCAATTAAAAGTGGTCTCAACTTCTTTTGATATTTGGTCAATTGGAATAATATCATCGCATCTACATAAAAAAAAAAAACATTGAAGTATAAATACTTATATAATTATTGCATTACGTTAATTTGATTATAATTACTCGTTTTTGTGTTTGATATTTTTATCTTTATCGCTGAAAAATTTAAATATTTAGTTATTTAACGAGTTTATTTAATGTAAAATATGTCTTTATAAAACATACTCAGTGACAATTTCAAAACGATTTAGGAATAGTTCCCATTGGTTATGATCATGGTTAGTCGGCACTCGAATATCCGTAGGATTATACCATGTATAAATTGGCCAATCTGACCTTACGTAGAACGATTGAACAAAGTATGGTGAAGTTTTAAGTGTTATGTAAGAACGCAGATTTGTAGCTACGGCTGCAGAACGTTTGTGTAAAATCTCTTGTTTTTTCTGCTCGTTGGTCAACGTTTCATCGACTATATTATTATCTTGTAACCATTTAACCATATCCATCTATATCGACAGAGCGACCATTAATTCGATAAATTAAATAAATGAAAACATCTGAGAACCTTACCGTATTATCAGACCTCAACTCTAAATCTGTAAGATCATCGGGTGGAGGTCTTAAAAATATTTGAAAAGATCTATCACTTCTCAACGATATAAATAAGATTTTGATAAGATGCATCTTTAAATCTGAAGTGTCACTATCCAATCTAGTTAACCACGAAGAATAGTTCAATTTGTCTAGAATAAATCATATTATTATATTTTCAATGTACATAATATTCCACTCCGTTTTAATCTTATTTCTCTTTCCAATACCTGCTTCATTTTCTAGCCTGATTATACATAAATGGTTAATTTGTCGGTAAAAATCATATATTGATGCGTCGTCTGTCTTTTCTTTGCCGGTTATCCTTTTTATAATTCTTGGTGAACATTCAGCACGAGTATTCATTTTGACATTTGTTTTTACAATTTAAATTTTAATAATTTACGAAATAAAATGGACGGAATAGATTTGTTGTATTTCTGTTAGTTATACCTATTTGTTGATTTTTTTAGTTGCCATGAGTAATTTAAAAAATATATCGTTAAAAATGAGACACCATTTTTTATTTGTACATAATTAATATTACAACTTTACAGTTGGGTATACTTAAATATTTATACTTGTGTTTAATTTGTTGATATAAATACTGTTATATAAATAAATCCATAAACGAGACTGTCTAATAACAAAACATACCTACTACCTAGTTAGTAATTACTAATTAGCGGGGCACAAGACTTGTAGTTGTAAAACATTACCAAATTTGAACTTAAATATATTATAAAAGATGCATTAAAAGTATGCATTTTAAAATGAATATTTTTTTATACTAAAAAATAATTTTTTCTGTAAATACCTATTATTTTAAATGAATATATTATTTCACTTAAATTTTAAGTACATGTTACAATAAGTATTGAATTATTTTAATTTATTGGTTTTCAGATACTGCTTCAAATTAATGTTTCAATTTCTTCAACTTCTAAAAAATAATTGACAAAATATTTTAGGTTCAAATGTTTAACTCTCGAGACGTGTTTCTACTAAAAACTGGGAACAGTCAACAATCATATTATTAATATTATTATTACAATTTAAAACAATTTTAAATTTAACATTATTTTCGTTAAATAAATAATTAAACAAAAACGTTGACCAAAAATTATTGCAAAAATGATAAATTATTTAAAATATGAATCTAAAAGTATAAAATGGAAGAAATATGCTCTATAAAAACAAAAAAAGTCAAAATATGCATTTATACGCAAAAAAAAATGTCAATACTAGGTCTGTGAAAGCATAAAACGTATTACTTTCGTTACTTGCTATTTTAGTAACTGTGCAAAAAAATTTGCAAATGCTACAAGTATACTGTCCTAGTAATTAGTGATAACTGGAAAAAAATTGTCACTTGTGAGGTTTTGGCATTTGGGGATTTCCGATCCCAACTCTATCTTATTATATCAATAAATTATATTAAATATTAAAATACTTATTACTTTATTTAGTATTGAAAATTAATTTTGATTGTTAAAATCAGAATTATATTGCATTAATGTATCGATTATCTTTCGATAAAACTATTTTATGAAATACTCAATACATTTTTATAAATATGCGATGCAAGATACTCGATACCACAATTAATTGTATCGAGATACAAGATAAAAGATAAATTATACAATTGCATCTATAAGACACTGTCCAACCCTGTAAGTGGGTCACTGTAATTGATGGTGTTAAATTTTAATTCAATGAATAATATCATTGTATACGAAAACGATTCTGAGCGGAGAAGGTCTGTCGGCCAAGGATATTTTATAATATTATATATTATTTTATAATGATGTTATTAACACGGTGAGCTGGTAAGTTGAAATAATATTATTTGTTTCTAATAGTATACTTTAGAAGCTTCAAGTACCCACGAATAATATTTTTTAATATTACAACAAAATAACTTAAACCGTTATTCTTCGTTTAAATATCTAAAATAACTATAAAAAAAAGGTGCTCTGCTGTACAGTAGGTTACAAGTGTTTCACTATATAATGGATGGTATTAAATTTGAATTCAATGATATAATATCATTGTATAAGAAAAACGATTCTGAGCAGAGACGGTATGTCAGTCTAGGTATAAGACATATTATTATATACTTATCTAGTTATCTATGGTATTAAAAAAAAAAAAAAATTGTGAATATAATAAATTCCAAATTAATCACATCACAATTTATATCCATTAAGTACTTATAACGCCTTATACATCAACAACAAACCGTGATACTATCATAGATATCAATTAGAATTTTCAAGTACCCACGAATAATATTATACAATCACAACAAAATAACTAAAATAATTATTTTTATTTTCAAGTATTTTTTCTCAACACACAAAGTTTTATTAACATTCTTATAAAAAAAATAAATAACATAAAATTGGAAACTGAAAATGTTCCTGAACAGTTCAAAACAAATCAAAATATTTTCAAAATTTTAACGTGTATAGAAAATGTAAATATAAACGACCAGTGAAAATACGTTCATTTGTTTTAGAGTTACACCAAAAACCAATAAATGTGGAATATTCCTGTTTTTCCTTAATTTTTATGTTGTTTTTCCCGGCGCTTTTGAAAAATGTTGGGTATTTTCAAATTTGACCTCCCGAATGCACCAATATTCAATTTCTCATCAAACAACATCCTGAAGTTGAAAATCGAAGCATTATTTCGACTACTTATTGTGTATAAAGACACAAAAAATAAATAAATAAATAAATAAAAAAAAAAAAAAACACAAATCATTATAAAATCAATACATTTATCGTTCCACTCAGAATCGATCTTTAGCTATAAAAATTGAGCATTTTATAAATGGTTAACTGCAAAATAGTGTGTACATTTTCAATTTGATAAATGTTGTCATCATTTTAACTTTAAATGGTTATAAAAAAAACGATGCCTATGTATTTTTAATATTTTTTAAATAGTATTGTAACAATGTGTGAGGAGCCTTCTATTACATATTAAAGCTTTTTAACACAACGAATACAATTATATTGACATTAATAGAAAACAATACTAAATTGAAAAATGAAAATGTCCATAGGTACACAACTCAAAACAAGTCAATATGTTTTTAAAATGTTATCAAGTTTAGAAAATGAGAAAATAAACATATGATCTAAAATTTCAAGTATCAACGGTTATTCGTTTTTGAATTGCAACAAAATAAGAAAACCACACCGCATAAGAAATCGAGTGAATATCTAATGTTGTAAAAATTGAACTTCAAACGTCAATAAATACGTAATTTGATGGTCTAGTAGAAATTTTTTTTTTTACATAGGTGGACAAACTTTTTTCGGAATATTTTATGGTTTATAGAAACTTCTAAATATAAAATTCAGTGAAAATGTACCTATCTACAGTAATTTTTTTAAGAGTAGAGGTCCACACACACTGCTGCGGTAGACGATACGGTAACGATACAATTGAGCTCATAGTTTTATATGAGGCAAACCACATTTGTATGGTATTGTCGGATCGGTGAACGGTAGGCGCACCGATAATCTTTGTGCGGTTAAGTTTAAAACTAAACGAATGTAATTAAATGTTGATGAGACATTGGGCTGATTGGGCTTTAGCCCTACCTGAGATTTTTCTATACGTGGGTGGGTTGGTACCTTACGAAAACATGACGAAACGTAGGTATAGCCCTTTTATAGTTTCGTTAACGTTTGTGTTTACCCGAGAGACATCCGGCTGGGCGATTTATTTAAAATTGAACACTCATTATTTCAAAAAGTGTAATTGTTTTTGAAAATAAACTGTTACATAGTTTCGAGACGCTTACAAAACAACTTTGTTATTAAAAAATTATCCTTCTAATTTTTTTATTTTATTTTTGACGACATAGAGTTTAAATTTCATATTCCAAAGTAGAATATTTTTTTTAAGTATTTCGATACATAAAAATCGAATTTATTGTGAGACGTGAGTAGTCTATGCGTTATAAGTATTTACAATTAAGTGGTACTGGGTTATCCTTCAAAATGTATGTCCACTACTCCGCTCATCTAAATTTTAATATTTATATCTCATAAACTAATAGCCCTAAAATCGATTTACCATGAATAATTAATAATAATAAATAAAGACCTATTAATGTTAATTGACAAATTTTAATATTATTTATTATACTTTGAACGTATTTGAATAAATTGTTTTATTAGATTATATTTGGTTAAAATTTAATTAAATATTGATGAATTTTGTGTGTGTGTGAAATATCGAATAATGAAAAATGATTGTTTACATTTCCAGTAACCAACAAAAGAGTCACTTAAAAGTTTGTAGAGTGTAGTGAAAATGTCTATAATTTTTTTCTTGTGTGAGTGTGTTACCATGACTAGGGGGTAGGTGATCAGATTGAATTTAGCCGTACCTGACTCAGAGGATATAGGACACCTATGGACATAGGTACATAATATGAAGCTGTTTAGATGTACAACTATATTACCATTTTGTCATTAAGTGCTACCGTACATTATTAATATTTAAATTAAATATTACCTAAAATTACAGTAGGTAGGTATATCATAATTTATTTATTTATTTATTTATTTATTTATTATTTGTTGTACGGACTTAGCCCTTTTTGACATTACAATATCTTATATCATGTTAGAAATTTTACAAAAGACAAAATTAAATTAAATATATACAGCTTACATTAATATTAAATAATACTGAAAATAAGTTTTTATATCAAATATTAGGTAGGTACTTATACTCCCATTCTGCAAATGTGGGCAAAAATTAACTTAAGTTAGTTAAGTCAACATTTAGAAAGCTGTAAGTTAAGATTTAATGAACATTATACTTCACTCTTAAATTTAAAGTTAATACCAGGAAAAATATGAATTATTATATAATTACTTTTTAACTTAGCTTTAAGTGAAAGCATATATTGATTGGCGTAGTACTCACCTTTAGCAATGTGTACAAAATACGTAATTTCATTGTAATTCATATTAGTGAATTTAAGAAATTATATATTATAATAATATAATTATATTTTTTATTATATATTAGGTATTTAAAGACTCGTGTTATAGGCACATTTACAGAACAATTATTGTCTGGTGGGAAGGGAAGGGTTTATTAGATAATATTCATATGAGTTTTAAATGGCTGTCGACAAAAAAAATATTTTTGAAAATAAATCGAAAGGTTACGAACCAAAAACTTCCCGTATGTCGTATGTGTGTCTGATTATATATCGTACCGTACTACCGCACTACCGCAGCAGTGTGTGCTAGTTGTGACGAAAAAAGTTCCGGTACGATATTTTACCTTCCGGTAACTCATATCGTTTCCGGATCAGTGTGCAAGCTCCG